TTTTTATTTTTAATATAATTTACTTATTTTATTCTATTTTTTTATGTTATTACAATAAAAATCATATATTTAAATTAAAAACTAAAAGATAAAATCAGTTAAAAAACAAAACTAAAGTCTCAAACTTCCACCAAAAAAAATAAAAAAACTAAAGTCACCACCGTCTGCCTTTCCCTGCCCAATCTCAGCCCTTTAGTCGGTGGCTTCCAGCCTTGTGCAGAAACAAAACCAAAAAGCAAGCCCTTCGTTTGTGTAGAAGCAAAATCCAGATGCAGAAGCTAAAACGAAATAGAGCAGGCGAAGTCACTGTCGACAGACGAAGTCACTGTCGACAGAAGAAGTCACCGTCGACCAACTGCCTCCCCGATCCCAACCGCCGGCGACTCTACAACTACCTCCCCGATTTCAACCCTTCACCGCTCACCTCCTTCTTCCATCGACAGAACAGATCTGCCTCTCCTCCGTTAGTCATCGTCTTCTCCTTCACCAGTCATCGTCCTCTCCTCCACCAGCCATCATCCTCTCCTCCGTCAATCATCGTCCTCTCCGCTAGTCATCGTCCTCTCCTTCACCAGTCATTGTCCTTTCTGCTCACCTCTTTAAAAAAGCTGTTAACCTTTTTTAGTCAACCGATTGAACCGATCGGTGAACTGGTTCAACCGATTGAACCAGACTCGGTGGCCAAAATGGGCCAACCACCGGGCCAAATCCAAAAACAATGCTCTAATCCTTCGTATATTTTCTTTTAATGAAGGTTAATACCTTTATAAAATTATGAATTCTAAATATCGTATAAGTATTATATATTTGACATATATTTTAGTTCCAAGTATATAATCACTAATATTTTCCTTTTCTTTTCTTAAGATTGAAAAAAAATTGAATTATGAAATAAAAATTAACGTTTAATAAGTTTTCTAACTAAAGAGTTAATTAATAATAAAGTTTTTTAACTAAATAGTTAATTAATATTAGATTTTGTTAAAAAAATGAAAAAATATA